TGTACATGTTAGCCAACGAGCTAACTATCAGGATCGACTGTAGGTTAAAATATAGTTCTAGAAAACATTCAAATCCAGTTTTTGTGTCTACAATTGGTATAAAAACAACATAGAAAGATATTTACATGGTCGTAGTGGAAACAACGCAGTTATTTTGGTCCGAAAAGCGTTTCTGTGGTGACCCGTCAGTCCGCTCTTCCAACTGCTGTCAAACGTTCCTCTTGAAGTCGCGCTGGGTCACGTGTTCTCTTTATATAGCGTCACGTTTGAGCTGAGGGAACAGAAAAAAACAAAGACGTGCATTAATGTTTAACTGTAAAACACCGTTCAATTATTTGAACGAACTATAAGGTTGAGGGTTAAGACTACGTTCAAATGTTCGTGTTTGCTGCGTCAGCTGGCATTCCTGCAGCGGACTTCCGCCTCTAGTACTAGTTTTTGTTTTTTCTGCCTCTAGTACTAGTCTAGATTTTTCTCTGAGCTGCCCTGACATCACACTGCACCAAAACCACTCGATGTAAAAACAAAAACAAAACAAAAAAAGGGGAAAGAAACATGTTACAGATTACACATAGCACAAGAGTCCACTTGTTATCAACATCTTTGTATATTAGCGCCCGGACAAAAAATATTTTAAAACAACAAGATCTGATTCGATTTGTTTTGATATTTTGCCGTATGAATAAAAACACGCATATTTCACGTCAGTAACTGAGGTTCAACAAGCATCTTACCTGTATCAAACTGTTGATCTAGATTGTGTTTACACTCTTGTTCTAACCCTTCCAAACACCACCCACAAAAACAACGCTCGAGCGTTAGCTAGTTTTGTTGACTGATCTGTGATTCCAGTCTTCAGTGTCACATGATGAATAAAAAGTTAAAAAGAACAGCATTTATTCAAAATCTTATTTTAAAAAAATAATTTTGAAATAAAAAAAAGAAACAAATATTTTGTAACAATATACACAGCCGTTGAAAAGTTTGAGGTCAGTAATTGTTTTTCATTCTTTTCTTTTCTGATTTTTTAAAATGCTTTTATTCAGCAAGGATGTGTTAAATTGATAAAAAGTGATAATAAAGACTTAGAAAATATTTCTATTTTAAATAAATGCTGTTCTTTTTAACTTTATTCGTCAAATAATCCTGAAAAAAAGTATCACAGGTTCCAAAAAAACATATTAAGCAGCACAGCTGATTCCAACATTGATAATAAATCAGCGTATTAGAATGATTTCTGAAGGATCATGTGACACTAAAGACCAGAGTAATGATTATAAAAAATCAGCTTTGCATCACAGAAATACATTATATTTTAAAGTATATTAAAATAGAAAACAATTATTTTAAATTGTTATAATATTTTACAATATTATTATCAATATTATTATTAACATCCTGTATTTTGAGTCAAATAAATGCAGCCACGATGAGCAGAAGAGACTTCTTTAAAACACAAAAAAAATAATCTGTTCTAACCCCACCACCCACAAAAACAACGCTCGAGCGTTAGCTAGTTTTGTTGACTGATCTGTGATCTGTGATCTCCGCACATTCGCAGATCGTTACATGTGTATTTGGAGGAAATTCACTCGCATATAATTTGTAGATCGAGGCTCCTTGTTGACAAACCAGTCACATGTCACGTTTATGTGATATCGTCCGCCAAATGTCGCCATAATGGGAAGGGAAATTCATGTCAGGAATTACATTATATTTTAAAGTATATTAAAATAGAAAACAATTATTTTAAATTGTTATAATATTTTACAATATTATTATCAATATTATTATTAACATCCTGTATTTTGAGTCAAATAAATGCAGCCACGATGAGCAGAAGAGACTTCTTTAAAACACAAAAAAAATAATCTTACTGATCTCAAACTTTTGAACAGCAGTGTATACTTACTTATCTACCGTAGGCTACTAACAAGTTACTTTATGAGAAATACCATTGTCCAATTTGTCATGCATTCTTGTGGTAGTTGTAGTCCATGAAATATGCATTTTAGTAATTAGTAAAATGAGGTATGGCAGTGTGTAATGTTGTAGAACAAAACGTCCTCTTCTATCCACAGATCTTAATTAACTTATAAATAAATAAATAAAAAACAACTGTATTCTAAGGCCCATGTGTATTAGCCTTCCTAACTGGCCTACAAATTGACGTCATGGCTTTTAGATAAAATAATAATTCATAATAATTCATAATAAAAATACGCGTGTGTCCTGTTGGTTTGGTCCCTGGCACTAGGTGGCGGTCGTTACTTCGGCTCATGATTAACTACTGCAGAAGAAGATCGGTTCGTCACCGCTCCAGCTGGCTAAACACATCGCATCCGCCGCACATCAACACACGGAATACATCTACAGAAAGTTCTGTGAGTAAGATTTTAGTTTTAGGTTTTATTTGCCTCTCAATGCGCCGTTTTAGCCATAATATCTAACTCTACAGTCGCTTCTCAAAGCTCACTTTTATCAGATTTTCATAGCTGTGGGGGAATCAACATGATCTAAGAGAGAGCGATTAGTTTTCATAACAGATTTGATAAACAAACTTTGTGGGGTGTTTTTATACCAACCCGTCAAAAAGATCGTGTTGTTAGATGGTCTTATATTTCATAACTTAATATGTTTTGGACACATCTGACGTAATGCTGCACCTTAACAAACTTGTTCTTCCGGATTCTTTCTCTTTGTGAATGCAGTTTCTGTACCAACCCATGAGTGACATCGATTTTCCATTAGCGCACATAATGTAATTTAAGACATTTATAACTTGCTGCACAGTTGATGGAAAGTGTTCTAAACGAAGTAGCTGGAATAATGAAAGCTATAAAAAATAATGTTTATTTAATTTCTTCATTGTTTCATAAAAAATTGAAAACGAGAAAAGTGTCAGCAGTTGTGTGTAAGTGACACATTGAGATGGATGGAAAAGCAAGTGACCCCTTCAGCAGCGAGGCAGAACAGCTTCCTGGGGCAGGAGTATTGGGGAGGTGAGAAAAGTGCCGTCAATCACCAGAAATACTACAATCCGTAAATGCTCAAGAGCCCTAAAAATGTTTAAGTCGTATAAATATACAGTTATTAATTTCCTTTCATTTCTATTGTTTGTCATTATTTTGAATTACACTAAATTAAAAAATAATGCCATATGTGATGTTTTATGTGTCGTCATTACCCTTAATTGTGTTATTATGATGCAGTTATGTTTTAAAATTATTATATTATATATTTTTTATATGTATAACCATTATTACTCTGCTAATTCTATTTTCCTGTCTGTCTTGGAAATCAGGCTGTGGCTGCCCAAAGGTCTGTCTGGTAATGTGATTAAGGATTGGGTGGACCACAGGCGAAAGTCCATCCGTCCATGGGCCAGCTTTGTGGACCAGCGCAAGTTCTCCAAACCTCGGAATTTTGGAGAGCTGTGCCAGCGTGTGGTGAGGAATCTGGACACCTTTCACAGCAACTACGCCTTCATCTTTCTGGGACTCATTCTCTACTGCATGTAAGGAACTGCTTACTAATAATCATCTAGAATTTTATTTAAAGGGGTGCTATTATGCTTTTTTTCACTTTTTCAACTTTAGTTAGTCTGTAATGTTGCTGTTTGAGCATAAAAAAGATCAGTAAAGTTACAAAGCTCAAAGTCCACTTCAAAAGGAGATATTTTATTTAACGACTCGTTTGGACTACAACGCATATTTTCCGGGATTTGTGATATCACAAATATCGACGAATGGGATGAGACCTGGTTGAGCTGCACTAGAGAAGACAACGAGTGTTATCATGTCGGAGACACGCTAGCTTTCCCAAGGCAGACAAACTTAAAGTGTTATAATCATCAGGGTTTAAATCGCGCTCAAATTGATTTGATTTTGAGCAATATTTACACTGAAGCTCGCAGGCGGCTGTGGTAAGGGGCATGACATTTCCCGACCAGGCGCCGAGTGGTGCCAATCACAACACACACTGGCCCAGCTAACCAATCACAGCACATTTCGTATTTCAGAAGGCAGGCCTTCATTTGATACAGGAACTATTCGAGCCGTTCATGCCAGACTGGGGAGAGAGGTGTTGTATTAATGTAAAATATGTGAAAAATTATGTGTTTCTCGAACAACCTAGTATGAGAGCCTGTTCTAGTACACCCCCAAAACAAAATCAAGACGTTGTAAAAGAGCATAATAGGACCCCTTTAACTTCTTCAAATGACATAAAAGGCTCACTGTAGTAGAAATAAAAACGCTCAACAAGCCTCTGTTCTTATGTACACAACATGGGTGTGTGTGTTTAAGTTTCTCTGAAGGTCCACATTCACGCAACCATCTGGAAGGCGTTTAACAGAATAAACATTCACAGGATGTTCAAATAAAATGCCAGTTAACTGTTTTCTCTCTCCTTTTCTCCTCCAGCATCAGTTCCCCGATGCTCTTGATTGCTTTGGGAGTGTTTGCTGGTGCCTTCTATATAATTCACTTGAAAACACTGGAAAAGAAGCTGGTTGTTTTCGGTAAGAGAGTGAGATGTTGTTTTAGTGGTTATGTGTGAGGCCGTATGAGTTGCGTCATTTGATTTGTTTGCTTGAAGTTTAAGGGCTGAATAGTTGATGTGATGTGTGTAACACACTCTTCTGTTTCTCTCAGGTCGTGAGTTGACTCAGGGACACCAGTTAGGTTTAGCAGGAGGGGTTTCCTTCCCTGTGTTCTGGCTCGCAGGTGCAGGAACTGCTGTGTTTTGGGTACTAGGTAAGATTTTTACCTTTATCTCATTGTACTTCTGTGTTTTTCCCCAAACAGCTCTTCTGAAACTCTTGGATTTTTTTTCTCTTATTTAGGTGCTACACTAGCTGTTATCGGGTCTCATGCAGCATTTCATGAGCTGGAGTCGTGTGACATAGATGAGCTGCTCATGGAACCTGTTTAAACCTTTCACCTTTTTCCTTTTGGCTCATGTTAACCTAAATTGTCTTGCCTCATCATTTATATTGCCGTATATTGTTTTTGCACTAATTTGGCAATATCAGTTTGCTCACAGATTGGCCAGCAAAGAAATACAGACTGTTAAACTGACATGGCCCTAAACAGATCAAGCACAGTGAAAGACCTCAAATGCCTTTACTGGTACCTATTGGATATTATGTTCATTTGTTGCATTATTTATTTCTATAGCATCCTTAAAGCACAAACTAAATTGACTGTGACCCCAAGCAAAAAATCCAATTTAGTTGAAAAAACGATTAAAATTTATACTGTCCTTAAAGGCGTCAACCAAAAATGAAAATTCCCAGCTTGTATGACTTCTTTGTTGCTCTGTGGAACTCAAATGAATTGATTTTGAAGAATGCTTAGACTTTTTTTTTTGTCCACAATGAATGGAAAACTGGGTTTAAAACAACATTGGAACCCATTGACTTTGAATGTATGGACAAAAAAAACACTTGAGACATTTTTCAGAATTTCTTCTTTTATGGTCCACAGAAGAAGAAAGAATGTCATACAAGCTTGGAATTATGTGAGGGCAAGTAAATCACAGGATTTTTGGGTTAACTATGCTTTTAAAGGATCCTCTCACACTAAAGGACAAATATGAGTAATAGCTTTTGATCAACATGTTGTGCTGGATCATCCAAAATAGCGAGGAAAAAAATTCAGACAACAAGAATGTACACAGTTTGTGTGATTTATAGGGTACCAGTCATTACAAAATCATTTGTATATTTAGCTCATATGTTGTTATATCAGTCTTGTGAGGACAGCTAACGCATGCATGATTTAATAACAGTATGTGTCAGCAAAGACATTTTTTATTATTGCTATTCAGTGTAACCAGTTTCTGATGCCAATATTCCCAGTGGAAGTTTTTTTATACACTACTGTGAAAAAGTCTTAGGCCATTAGTATTTTCACCAACAACAACAAAAAAAGATTTTAAGCCAGTTATTTCTACAGAAAATGACAGAAATAATTTGCTTAAACAATTTTTTTGTTGGTGAAAATACTAATGGCCTAAGGCTTTTACACAGTACTGTCTATATATATATATATAAATGTTCTCTCATTTAATGGAAATGTTTGTTTATTGTCTTTTATTTACAACTTGCTTCTGTTGTATCAAATGGGAAGTGCAATAAAATGCTCAGTCTGTACAATACCTTCAAGTCTAATGTTTATTTAATTACTGCTCATGGAAAAATATCTAGACTTATTGCCTTTTTTCATCTTCTCTTTTTTTTTGTCTTATCACGCAAATTTGACTTATGTGACCTGTCATGACATCAGACCAGTGACAGTCCATCTCATTTTTAAGTTGCCATAGTGATGACCTTGAGTGGGCTCTACCTTTCCTTTTAAACACTGCGGCAAGAGCAGCCGATCGATATTCCATTACAGCAGTGCAGTAAGGAGGGAGGGGGAAAGAAAGAGGAGCACTGCAGTGAGCCCATAGAATTTCCCAAGGGACATTAGGGATGTGTGTGTGTGTGTGTGTGGCAGCCCAGTTTTGCAAGTCAGTAGTTTGCAGTGATATCAATGTATGATGAATGCTGTGGTCAGCATATTACAGTCACTCTCTGCTGTGGCCTAAAAACACAGTCTTGTTTGCCATTGTTAAGAGAAGTAGATGTAATTGTGGTTATTGTTTAAAGGGATAAACAACACGTTTGGGATGCCAGGGACCCCAGTGATGTATGTGTAACTTGATTTTAATTTAACCTTTATTTTGTATAAAATTATTTTATATAATTTAGAATTTTCCTCGGATTTAATCAGTACAGAGTAAGCCGATATTATTCAAGCTTTTTAAGTTGTGTCACAAAGGACAACTGGATGACTTATAAAAAAAAAAATAGAATTTAATATATAAAAATACAGTAAAATAAACAGGAATGCACTATATGAAATGGTTTATACCTTCAATTTTTATTTGCTATCAATTCTCATAAAACTAGGAAAAGACTAACTATTGGCCTGATACTTATTTTGTGAGCTATTAAAATGACCTTGAGGTCTCGGGATGGCAAGGATGGCAAAATAAATAGGTTTAGCCACCTTTAAAATGTAGAAAACATTTCCCCAATTTTTATGTTGTTGACTTTTTTGGTGCAGAATTACTGGTCTGTTGGTAAACACTTGGTAATCCAGGAGATGCTGATTTATAAAGGTTGCATTACATGTCCTCATGATCAAAGACCATGAACACAGCTACTCAAGGTAAAAGAAAATGACATTGGAAAGAAATATAACATTACAACATTGTAAAATCTGTTTTAAAACCAGCTGAGAACAGTGACGTCAAAATAATTTTATCAATTATCTGCATCAGTGTTAGTTTAGTATTAAGATAGTATTTCTAAATATTTTGAAATAGTTTTCATTTGAGTTTTAATGATTTTATGTGCTTTTGTCATTCTGTAAAAAAAAATTCTCTTTAGCTTCAATTCATTTTTATTTCAAATTACAGAAAATTAATTTTTAATTTACATTAACAACACTTAACAGTGATTTAACTGTGATCCAGTAAGAGATGAAAAAGGGAAATGAAGAGTCAGACATCACTTGTTGGTAGTATTAAATGCACTAGATGTTTTATTGGATTTGACCTTTCAGATTCATGTTTCTACCAGTAGTTTTGTCCTTCTGTCTTTAGTCTCAATATTCAATATTCAATTGAATACTCAATATTCACACATCTGCCAATGGCTGACGGCAACAGCGCACTGTCCCTCCACTCACGCGCGTGCACGCACACACACACACACCTGACACTGCTTCATACCGATCGCATCTCCTGATAAACCAGCGGTGGAACCTGCACACACCAGGCTCAATTGGTTGGTCCAGAAATGATTTAGATGATAAAGTTTGTTTCTCGAATCAGATTTTAGGAGAACAAATTGTTTTTGATATGACAGATAAAAGTTGAAATCTACCTTCAACAGCTAATGTACAAAAACAGCCAATTTAAGTGCCATAAAGGGGGGGAACAACAAAACCTGGTGTGTTTCGGTTCACAACGGCAGTTGATTTTATTCCAGAGATGCTGTTCAACATCATACTAGTTTTCTGTGCAAAACCTGTCAGGAACTGACGACTTCTGTTTCAGTCAAGTGGGTTCAAACATGCAAGAGAATCATTTTATACTGTTTTTCAGTGTTTCTATCTTCCAAGATATGTCTTTATTTGTTTAATCAGATGTGGTATTGTTTACATTTTCCCTAAAACACAGAGACAGAGAGTGTATTGAAACATTTGGGGTTATTGTACCGGTCAAACAAGCACACAAAGACAGAGAAAGAACGTCAGTGAGAGTGAGAGAGGATTCCAATGTCAATCAAACTTAAGTAGAAAATAAAAAATATAAACAACAAAGCCACCAAAACCACCTCCATTAGTGATTAAAGAACACAAATCACCTAACAAGCACAATTATTAACAAAACGAGTGAAATAAGTCAAAGTTCCTATGTTAAACAGAGAGTTTAGTGTGTGCATTGGGAACCAACAACAGGTTTTGTGTGATCTGTGTATCCGTGTGTGAATGGAGGATAGGTTGAGGGAAAAGGCAGGGATGTAAAGGATAGGTGAAGGGATGGCCTTTTTTAATAGGCGAGCGTACATACTCCCTTTTTAGCGTCAAAAGCTCCTTTCGAATCTACATAATTGATTATGCAGCTGCCAGTTTTAGATATATAGTAGACTTTATGTACACAGCCGTGTGAAAATACATGCAAAGATTATTATAGGAATTGGGGGGCATGATGTGGACATTTGAGAGTGTGGAAGGTGCTTTGTGATTTCCTCTTTAGGGAGAGACGTGCTATTGGCTTAAAGCTGCTGTCTCTTTAAAAGGAGGGCGGGAGAGGATGGTTGTGCGTCTTAGTTGGAAGAGGAGTAGTAGAACAAAATGGAAGGTGTAGGAATGTGAGTAAAGAAGATTTGTTGATCAATAATATGTCTCCTTTTCCACCCATCCTACAAAAAAAGACAGAAAAAAAGCAGTAATCACTTTGAGAAATGCTGCACATCTGGTGAGTTTTCATTTCAATCTTAATTGAACAGTGTTTTATTGTATCCCTGATGCAAACAAAGACATTTAATGATCCAATTCGGGGGCTTTATGCAAGATATACTGATAAGAAGTGTGTAATTTTGTGCATGTGTCTTTGGGACAGTATGAAGGAACACGTACCGCCGGGGTTCCGGCGCAGGAGCAGCTTTCGGACCTCATCATAAACAAAGATTAAGAAACTGTATGGGAAAGCACAGAACCACCAGCTCGGCCTGGAGATGAGAGAGACAAATGAGAAGAGAGACCGTTTTAAGTTGCAGAATACTATCGAGTATAATAAACTTCATGTAACAGATTATGAAACATTAACATTTGTGTCTATAGCGTAACTTTAGATCATGTGATATATGTACATTTCAAATGTATTTATTACTGACCTAATATTTAAATTGCTTGTTTACTAATAAAATGAATCATGAAATCGGAATCAATTTCAGTTTGATTTTCAATGCATTTATGCATTTTTAGACCCCATATTCAAGAAACATGAGGAGCATGAATTCCTCTATAAATGGTTATGCTTTTTATTTAAAATAGAACACTGAAGTCTTTACTGTCATTTTTGATCTTCCTTGCCGATTAAAATGATTAATTTCTTTAAAAAACGAACAGAAAAACCTTACTGACCCCAGAGGTGGAATTGGATGAGTGCTTGTAACTGGAAAATCCATTTTCATGTATACATTTGTGCACGTGTGTGTGTGTGTTAAACTCACTTGAGCGGGTACATCCTGAGGGCCACGTCCATGCCCGGGCAATATGAGAGGAATGCAGCGAGAGCTGTTTCTTCAAACAGCCCAAAGATCAGAATCTTATTCCTGTAAAAGGACAAACACAGTTAGATCAAATGTTCTTGTGAATTCAAACACATAAATGTACACACACTTCCTGAACTCACTTCATGCCCTGCTGGAATACTGAATTGCGTCTGGTCTTGCAGACGATGACATCAGCCCATTGTACAACCACAATACTGACAAAGAAAGCTGTGTGACATGTGAACTCGACAATCTTCCTCTGCTCGTATGTCTGGGGAACATGAACACACCATTTTACAACATGCAGGGAAACGTCTTTGAACCTTAGAGACATGCATGACATCTAATCACCTTCACAACTCATTAAAACACTCACCCACTGCTGTCCGTAACTGTCCTCCAGGTCATTCATTGAACGGTCATCCCAGTTGAGTCTGATGCCCACGAGCAGTGAAGGCAGGAAGCCATTCTCAGCCAAAATCACAAAATAGCTGAAGAAACCACCCAATGCCTGGATCATACCTACACACACAAACACATGCTTACATTTTTTTTTCCGCAGATGCCTGCACAATTTTAATATT